ATATTCCTAACAATGAGGACCCAGATTGTTGTCGATTGACATTTGTAAACCACTCAGAGAGTGCTGTAAAGCACTATGAAGTAGTATATAAGTCTAAATGCTATGACTATTGCCATTTGTGTGAGGAGGATTTGGTCATATGGGGAGCATGCTGTACTGGTAGGCTGTATTTTATTTTTTATATAAATAACTTAAGGCAGTGAATATACCTAATGTGAATGAATGAATTCTTTATTGACCAACTGTGATTAGATACACAATGAATTTGCCTTGGTGCATATGCGCTCAGTGTACATAAAAAGAAAAGATACATTCCTCAAGAATCATAAGATACAACACTTAATATAGTCATAGGGTATAAATAAGCAATCAAATCATACTAGGAAACAGTCAATATAAATCGTAAGGATACAAGCGACAAAATTACAGTCATACAATCACAGGTGGGAGGGGATGGGTAATAGGAACAATGAGAAGATTAATAGTGATAGTAATGCAGACTTTGTAAATAGTTGGACAATGTTGAGGGAATTATTTGTTTAGCAGAATGATGGCATTTGGGGAAAAACTATCCTTGTGTCTAGTTGTTCTGGTGTGCAGTGCTCTGTAGCGTCGTTTTGAGGGTAGCAGTTGAATAGTTTATGTCCAGGATGTGAGGGGTCCGTAGATATTTTCACAGCCCTCTTTTTGACTTGTGTAGTATACAGGTCCTCAATGGAAGGCAGGTGGGTAGTAATTGTTTTTTCTGCAGTCCTAATTACACTCTGGAGTCTGTGCCTGTCTTGTTGGGTTGCAAAGCCAAACCAGACAGTTATAGAGGCACAGATGACAGACTTAATAATTCCTCTGTAGAACTGGATCAGCAGCTCCTTGGCAGTTGGAGCTTCTTTCCTCCTTCTATTTTCCTCAGAACATCGACCCGGTGAGCTAAGTTGGGCTGAGAAAGGGTGACTGGCACCAGCCAGCCTTTATGCTTAAAATGGGATTAGAACTCACAATCTCCTGGTTTCTAAGCTGGCATCTTAACCACTAGATCAAACTGGCTCTTGTCAATTACTTTAAGCAAGAGCTGTGATGGGACGATTCATTCATTCTTGTTTTCTTTGCTCTTTCAATATTCAGTGTTAAACTCTGAGCTATAAATATGATCTTCTATTAGTTTTTCAAGGAATCCTTCTGGGACAATTTTGGGGATGAAGGTGAGTATTCCCTCCCCTTTTTATTGTGGTTCTTCTTCTTTCTCTTGGCTGGTTCCAATAAGTGTTGACAATTTGGGGAAAGATTGCTTCCATGGACCTTCACTAGTAGATTGCTACAGTATTTGGTGTTCTTTTCTGTTTAACATCTACGTGAAACCATTAGGTGATGTCATCTGCCAGTTTGGGGTCAGATGTCATTAATATATGGATTATATTTAGCTGTATATTTCTATGCAATTGTAGTTTGGATTCCCAGGAGGAACCCTCTGCACTCCAGAGGGCCAAGAGAGTTGGGAGAAAGAAGGTCAAGTCATTTCCTTCCTAGATGTTCGGAGAGTAGAGTACTAGCAATAGGACTTAGACTTATATACCGCTTTACAACCCTCTCTAAGTGCTTTACAGAGTCAGCATATGGCCCCCAACAACCTGGGTCCTGATTTTACCAACCTCAGGAGGATGGAAGGCTGAGTCAACCCTGAGCCTGGTGAGATTCAAACTGCCAAATTGCAGGCAGCCGGCAGTCAGCAGAAGTAGCCCACAGTACTGCACTCTAACCACTGCGCCACCGTGGCTCGTATAACTTTAATGATGCAAGTAGTGATAAGGAACAATGAAAGGAAGTAACTCTGTGTGTCCTTCTTGGTTTTGATGAGCCTGACGGTACCCTCTATCTCAGTGATGGCTAACCTTTTCGGTACCAAGTGCCAAAAGCATGCTAGTGTGTGTGCGTGCACCCCCAAAATAAATAAGTGTACCCCCTGCACATCTGCTGTCCTCCCCTACACATGCATACATATCCCCAGTACATGTGCCCCACACATGCACATGTGTCCCCCATGCATGCACATCCCCACCCATACATGTGCATCCCCACCCATGTGCCCTACCCGCATGCTGCATGCCTCTGCACATGCATGGCAGATACCCAACAACCAGCAGTAGGGTGTACATGCATACGCAGTGGGGCTCTTCCAGGTGACCTCTTGCATGCCACTTCTGGCACATGTGCGATAGGTTCACCATCGTGGCAATAGAAGATCAATCTACTCTCCAAAGCATCTAAGGACAAGACAGAAGAAAGCTTATCAATGAAAGGTCCAGTCTAGAACTAAGGAGAAATTCCCTGTCAGTGAGAACAATTAATCAGTGGAACAGTTTGCCTTTAGAAGTTGAAGTTGAAGCAATTCAACGTCAGGTAGTCCTTAATTCGAGGACTACCTGCATTTACTGAACAGACAAAAAAGCATTTTTACAAATGTTTCAGAGAACAAATGCATCAATCAATTAGAATAAAGTGCAAGAATGTCATGGAATTTCCTACAAAAGACACATGCATACATGTCCCCAGTACATGTGCCCCACACATGCACATGTGTCCTCCATGCACGCATATCCACACCCATGCACGTGCATCCCCACTCATGTGCCCTGCCCCCCATGCATGCACGGCAGAGACCCGAAGACCAGCTGGCCAGTGGGAGGTGCACACACGCATGCGTGGTGGAGCTGAACTGGGGTGAAGGCTGGCATTCCCAGAGAGGACTCTGAATGCCATCTCTGGCATGTGTGCCATAGGTTTGCCATCATGGCTCTAGCTGGATATATAATCTGGTCAAAGCCCTAACTTAGTTCCTGGAGGCTGTGCAGGCCACTTTGGGAAGAAACAAGGTCCATTATGACATGAACAAATGACTTTGATTGCATGGGCCCCAGAGATCTAGACGTATTCCACTGAATGTTATAAACACAATTAAATAAATATGGATAAAATTATGTGATTCTATGAATGTTCCTTGTTCATATGAGGCATAAGCATCCCTATAAAACAGGGGTTCCCAGCCAACAGGCCACAGCTCATCTCCAAGCCTTGAGCAATTTGGAACCAGGTCGTGGAAGAGATAGGCGAGTGTTCATGTATGTCCGCCACTTGCACAAACAGCAGGCAACCCTGTGCACACGTGCTCCGTTTCATAAATGACGGACACGCATGCCCACGTCTCATGCAAAACCATCCTTTCTCCACCTGCCCACCGGTATTCAAAGCCAAAAGGGTTGGGGAACTCTGCTATAAAATGATGATCCCATTATCCCCATTTGGTCTCAAGTTTCTATAAAGTTGAAACACGCTGTATGGAAATAATAGTACAAAGAAGGCAACAGCAATAACAATAATGACAACATCTGTTCAAAAGAAAAGGTTGAGGGACTCAAAGGAATATTCAAATCAAACAGGTTCCATCATCTTCTTTATTTCACTTGCATTAATGCATTGAGCATGTATGGGGAATATATGCATTTGCATATGATGGCTCATTTCATCAATATCTGGAGTGAGATTTATTAAAGATAATTACATTCAGCCTATTGTGTCTCTGTAATAAGTACTGCAAATCCAGTCTTCTGGGGAAAAGATGTGAAAGGAAAAAAGCAGAAGGACCTTCAATGGCCTTTTAAAGGGGTGGCAGGAAAAAAAAACAAGTTTTTCAAGATCTCATAAGTTAAGAAACATTGTTCTAAACAGCTGCAGAGGCATTTTTCTCTGGCCAATAATTTTAAAAGAAAAGATTGCTTTGCTATTGCTTTTTTTATTTAGCTGATGACATTTCGAATAGGACTGGTAAGTGCAGGGCAATCACATCTACAGAAAGATCTTTGCGGTCAAAAAACCCCCAATTTTTGGTTTCTTGTCTGTCCAGGAAAGCCACAGGTTTTTTTTTTTTTTTTTGCTACCAATAAATTACAGGTAGCCTTCAACTTACAGCCATTCATTTAGTGACTGTTCAAAGTTACAACCAGTGGTGGTATTCAGCCGGTCTGCACCGGATCGGGTGAACTGGTGGCAAGGATTTGGCATGGGTCACCAAACCAGTAGTAAGCTCTGGCTGGCCACGTCCCCCGACCTGGTCACCTGGTCGCAGCTGGCTCGCTTGCTCTGCCCGCCAAAAGCTCACCCTCAAGGTATTTCTTTCTTTCTTTTTCCTCCCGACAATCAGCTGTTCATATGATCAGCTGTGCTGGGATTCCCCTTGATGAGGCCCAGGAAGGCAAAAAATGGAGGGAGGGGCTCAGCCCCCCTCCATTTTTTTGCCTTCCAGAGCCCCAGAAGAGGCTTCTGGGAGCAAACACACACACACACCCAGGCTCCTCTGAGGCCAAGAAGGTCCCAAAATGGAGTGTGGAGCGGTGCTGCACGTCCCTCCCATGCTCTGTTCCTTTTCTTCCTGAGCCTTAGAGGAGCTTTAGGGGAGCAAAAACGTCCCCCCAGAGCCTCCTCTGAGGCTAGGAAGTTCCCCAAAACAGGTTAGGGGGGTGGCTGCTAAAAAAAGCCACGCCCACCCAGTCACATGGCCATGTCCAGCTAACCACACCCATCAAGCCACGCCCACAGAACCGGTAGTAAAAAAATTTGAATCCCACCACTGGTTACAACGGCACTGAAAACAATGACATATGACCACTTCTCACACACTTACGATTACTGCAGCCTCCTCACAAAATTCGGATGCTTGGCAATTGGCATGTATTCGTGACTGTTACAGGGTCCCGAGGAATCACGTGATCCCCTTTGGTGACCTTCTGACAAGCAAAGTCAAGGGGGAAGCCAGATTCACTTAACAACCGTGTTGCTAACTTTGACACAGGGATTTTCTGTGGCAAGAAAGGTCATAAAATGGGGACACTTCATAAGTGTCTTGCTTAACAACAGAATTTTGTGGCTGAGTCATGGTCATAAGTTGAGAACTACCTGTACCTAAAATACTTCCCATTCAAATGGTTCATAAAACAAAAATATTTTCATTTTGTTATCTATGCTGTGCATCTAAGAAGCCACTTCCTTTTAAGATAGTAATGAATGGACAAATATGCGCCAGTTTAAGGGCTTAAGTTTAAAGCATTTGGGGATGGGGGTGGAATGAGAGAGAGAGAGAGACAGCCATTTTTAATTTACATCATATCCAGGCATAAAAATTCCTTGCTAAAGTTGTTTTATCTTTCCATTGTGGAACTAATAGCAGCTTTGGGGAAAATCAGAGGAAGGGAAAAGAGAACATAGCAAATGTTTCACCAAGGACTTTGAGGTGTAAGAAGAAGCAGACACAGAAAAAAGGGAAACTTAATGTTTTGTTTTTCTGGAATTAGCAGCTGTGTTCTCTCTGAATCCGTCTTGCCGAGGAGCTGTTCAAATATCTCCTCAAATGATGTATTTCAACATCATTTAATCAATCCAGTTATCTGAAGTCTTCAGTCTCAGCTCTGGCACAAATAATCCTAAAATCAAGTAGAAGACAAGAGATTATAACAAGGTCCTTGGTCATTCAGAATGCTCAGCTGATGTTTCAGCAAAGAGGGTTAATTTCTGGGAACTAATTTCCTAAGAGATTGAAAAATCACTTCATTTTTTGAAAAAGGAGAGCAATCAGGGCTTGGCGAAGGGAAATTAATGCAGTGCAGAAAAATTATCTTGCATTTCTCTTCTCTATTAGTTCTTGTTCAGTTGGACCAAAGAGAATTTGCTCTTCAACATTTCTCTTTGAGCTTTGCTTGTTTAGTTGTGAAGTGGCTAAGCTCTATGTGTGAATCATCTGTCTGTCATTGTAGACCAATTTCTCCAGCGGTCTGCAGCCTTTCTGCTTCCCACAATTCCATGAAATCTCAAGGAAAAACATTACATATATTCAGTTTTTTCAGCTGGGAAGGATACTTTCTCAAGTATTCAGAGGCTGTAAAATAATGTGAAAACACGGCACAAAAAAACACAGCAGTAGAAGCTTCTTCAACCACATTCAACAATCAAGCAATATTACAAGAGTTGTTGGGAGAAATATCCACCTGGTTCAGTTCCAAGCTGGGACAAAGATACTGGAAACATGGAGGCTGATTGGAAAGATGGTTTATTGACGAACAGGACCACAAGGGTTTGAGGTCCTGGGCAGCTGACCACATGGAGTTGAGAATGAGGGTTATTTATACCTTCTCTTGGGCCTTGCTCTTGAGGTTCCTGTTCCTGTACAAGAACATGTATTCTATTGGCTGTTGTAGGAGGTCATAGCTAACCCTGTAGGTTTTCTGAGAAGTTTGGTGGAAGCCTGGAGGGTGATGCAATGTCCCCAGGTTATTCTGCAATGCGGTGAGCTCTGCTGCTAGACAATCAGAGAAGAGCAACAGAGATGATAAAAGGGTTTGGAGGCTAAATAGTATGATGAATAGTTGAGGGAGGTAGCTACGTCAGGCCTATCAGAGAGGAGGATTAGGAGGGATATGATAACTGTCTTCTAGTACTTGAGGGGCTGTCACAGAGAAGAGGGGATTGACTTAATCTCCAAAGCACCAGAAGGCAGGACAAGAAATACTGGGTGGAAACTCATTAAAGAAAGATTCAAACTAAAAATAAGGAGAAATTTCCTCCCAGTTCCGATTAATTAAGTTGTGGATGCTCCATCATTGGAGGTTTTCAATAGGCTAGACAACCATTTGATCAGGATGATATAAGATATCCTGCCTTGAGCAGAGAGTTGGATGAGAAGACCTGCAAGATTCCTTCCAACCATATGATTCTGTGTTCTAATTCATTGGTCACAGGATATAATTGGTGAATGGATGATGCAAAAGTGCATGGTGTTGTGTTGTAAAGGAAGAAAGTCTAGGGGTTTATCTTTTAAACTTGATGAAGCTCGGTTTACGAGGGACCTGAACCCATAGACAGATTGGATGGCTGTTGATTTTTTATTTTTATGTTATGTGTTTGATATTCAATGGGGAAAAGTCAGTGATGTCAGACTTCCCCCAATGGTTCATTTTCCAGGTGGGAAAATGAACATCCGTCAGTGGCTAAAGTTGTGGACAGCAGCCTGTAAAAAGAACAGCAGGCACTCCTGGTGGCAGTCTTTACTCGGAGCAGAATAAAGAAATCTTTCCCCTCTCCCCGTTGTCCTGCCTCTTCAATCTAGCCCATATCTAACGGCTGGGGCTTAGAGGACGGTGCCATGGCTACTAAAAAGACAGGCCACAGTTTCCCTCCTCCCTCCTTATTTTAATGCCACAGTGCAAAGGATATATTCCTTCCCCTCTTTACATGGCACATTCAGCTTTTTCATTGCCATATTTCAATGAGCTGCTAATGCGCAACTATAAATCGGACAATACCCTTGGATGTATTCCTTAACACAAAAATAAATATGATGTGCAATTAGCCCTTTTACATTTATGTTGTTGTTACAGTGCACATGAGATCATTAGTTTCACAAAGAAACTCTGTCTCAAAATGCTATCCTAAGCACACTTCATTGATTAATGAAATTAATGTGTGGACGGGCAAAATATCAGTCTCATCTGAGCTTCCAAGATCAATAAATTCTTCCTTTTCTTCTCCTTCCCCCTTTCCCTACCTAAACAAAAAACAAAAACAAATACATTGCCTTTTGTAGGAAATTCCATGACATTCTTGCACTTTATTCTAATTGATTGATGCATTTGTTCTCTGAAACATTTGTAAAAATGCTTTTCTGTCTGTTCAGTAAATGCAGGTAGTCCTCAAATTAAGGACTACCTGATGTTGAATTGCTTCAACTTCAACTTCTGAAGGCAAACTGTTCCACTGATTAATTGTTCTCACTGACAGGAAATTTCTCCTTAGTTCTAGATTGGATCTTTCATTGATAAGCTTTCTTCTGTTACTTCTTGTCTTGCCCTCAGATGCTTTGGAGAGTAGATTGACCTTCTATTGCCATGATGGTGAACCTATCGCACGTGTGCCGGAAGTGGCATGCAAGAGGTCGCCTGGAAGAGCCCCACTGCGCATGCATGCACACCCTACTGCTGGTTGTTGGGTATCTGCCATGCATGTGCAGAGGCATGCAGCATGCGGGTGGGTTTGTGTGCACATGAGAGGGGTGTGCAGTGCAGAGGGTCATGCACGCATGCGCAGGGGGTGGGGGGAGTTCTGCGTGCATTGCATCATGGGTACAGGCACACAAATGTATGTGCACACACTTTTGGCACACAACATGAAAAAGGTTAGCCATCACTGCTCTATTGTCTGTAAAAGCCCCTGAGATATTGGGCGACTGCTATCATGTCACCCTTAGTCCTTCTCTTCATTGGACTAGACATACCTAGTTCCCTTAGTCGTTTGTTGTATGGCTTGGCTTCCAGTTTCCTAAAATCGCCTGACTGAAAGAGACAATTAGACTGGTCCAGAAATCAAGCAGGCTTAAAGTCTGTGAATATGATTGGGAAAGATACCATATGCCAGCCTTTAATGAAATTGGCATGATTTGGGTTCAACTCTGGTGTTCAGCCAGTCACACCTCAGGCAAAGGGCAGCTGCAATGCTATTCCTCCTGTTGTGACAATCTAAACTTTTATTGCATCTATAACTCATGTCAGGGTCTGCATATGCCGCGTAGGTATGTGATATGAGTCTCTTTAGAAAATTAAGTATGTTGTGGTGGCATGCACTACTCACTTTGTGAACCCATGCTAAAATCAGTAGAAATAATAAAAATATTAGGGGACGAGGAGGAGGGGGCCAATCACACAATTTTAATTAATATTTTCCACAAAGCTTGAATAGCAGTATAGGTAGTCCTCAATTTATGACCACAAGTAGGAACTGTTCAGAGTTTTGCAGTATAAATTTAGCGCCAGAAAAGTAAACACAGATGGCTGGTGCTTCATTTAATGTCTTTATAAACATATTAAATAAATTTTACAATACCAGTTGTAGATTTCTCCAACATGGAGCAAACTCATACAGAAGCAGACCTGTTGCAGGTTCAGAGAAGAACAGCAACTCAGCTTCAGCAGACAAGCAGGCAAGTTAGTTTCATTTTCAACAGACCGACTCAGAACTTAACATAGCTCCAGAGCTCCAGAGTTAAATAGACTAGGCTAAGGGTCACCAACCTTTTGGACCTCAGGGACCACCAAACACATAATTTTAAATCCAGGGGGACCACTAATATGAATTTTGACTGATGGTGGCTTGCTGACATTGGTGGGAGAGAGAGAGAGAGAGAGAGAGAGAGAGAGAGATCTCATCTAACCTCTCTCTCCCTCCCTCCCTCCATCCCTCTCTCTCTCTCACACACACACACACAAACACACAGAGGCAGGGGTGGGATTCAAATTTCTTAGCAACCGGTTCTGTGGGCATGGCCTAATTTGTGGGTGTGGCTTGGTGGTCATGTGACTGGCTGGGCATGGCTTGTATGTAAATATTATAAATATTTATATAAATATTGAATTTTTTATAAAAAAGAGCAACTTTTACCCAAAATCAGACAAAGCAGGCAGGCAGATTGAGTTGCTTTCAGAATTGCAGATTCATTCAGAGATCTATCTATCTGCCATTGGCTAGCTGAGTCTGTCACATAAAATTTGCTTGCAAGGAAACTCATAAAATTAACTCACAACACAACATGAATGTAAATATTGAATTTTTTATTAAAAACGAGCAACTTTTACCCAAAACCAGGCAAAGCAGGAAGGCAGATTGAGTTGCTCACAGAATCAAAGATTCACTTAGAGATCTATGATTCTGCTTAAAAGCAGAGCCGAAGATCTAAAGTTTAGTTAGAAAGCAAGAAATCCAACGATTTCCTGCTTTCTAGCTAATCTAAATCTCCCAGCACAGCAGAACAGTTGATGGTCAGGGGAAAAAAAGGAAAAATAGCAACTTAGCAGGCAAGTTTTCCAGGTAAGGAGTGAGTGGGCGGGATGGGTTCCCACGGGCCATGTGGGCTGCGCAGCCTTGTGTTCCTATGCAGCCTGGATTAATTGCTTTGTGGGGTGCTCTGGGGGTGACATTTCT